GGCGCTCGGCCATCCCGCTTGGGGTGGGCGGGACACGGGGCGGGGCCTTGGCCTGCGGCAGGTTTGCGGCGGAACCGGATTACGTCTATCGGTGATGTAAGGGGGCGTGGCGCGGCTTCTGACTTCTCTTAGGCAGGCCTAGGGCGAGGGGAATTGAGACTTCAGCTGCTTCCCGGGTTCCTGGCCCGGCCATCTTGGGCTTCCCGAGTGGAAGGCATCGACCTGTCACAGCTTCACTGCAACACTGGGGCTGTTTCATGGTTTTCTGTTTCCTTTTCTCAGTTCTACCTACGTTTGAAGCAGGTCAATTTACTGCATTCCTTTGCTTGGTAATATCACGAATCAACGTAAATCTTAAAAGCCGTAGTGCTGCGTCAGATTTGCTACACCAGCCCGGTTTTTAAGATAACGAGCGAAGGAGAAACCAATTGTCTGCAGTGAAGCCAGAGGACTTCTTGTTGCAGCGTTTTCTCTGTGTTCTCATTTCCTCTTCACGTTTCTTCCCACCCCAGCCATCACCTGTCCCAAAGTGCAGGCTGGTATGATGCCAGTGTTACCGGTTTGGTTTGGTTTGGTTTTGAGGCAGGGTCTCTTGCGCAGGCTGGAGTGCAGTGGCACGATCACGGCTCACTGCAGCTTTGACCTCCTGGGCACAGGTGACCTCCCTGCCTCAGCCTCCTTCGTAGTTGGGACAACCGTCACACACTACCACACCCGGCTAATTTTTCTATTTTTTGTAGAGATGGGTGTCTCGCTATTGCTCAGGCTTGTCTCCTGGCTGGGCTCAAGCGATCCTCTCGTCTCAGCCTCCCAAAGTGCTGGGATTACAGGCATGAGCTACTGCCCTTGTGAGGATTTTAAAACCTATTTAAAAATAAATGGTCAGTAGAAACGGATGTTGATTCAAAATCCTGACATTATTTCCTTCTTAAGGTTCATGGAAATTATTTGATTTTGGCAAGGCATTTGTCACCAATGAAAAGAAGCAATGTATTTTCTTTGTACCATTATAAGGATATACAAAGTGCATGAGCTAAGTTTTTAGTGTACCTACAGGAGTGCACGCTAATAATGTATGTATCAAACAAAGGCCACTATGGCATAGGATTCTTTCCTGAGTAAAAAAAAAAAAAATGTTTTTTTTT